TTCCTGAATTACAAGTACAGCAATCATATACATTAGTACAATGGCAAAAATTACTTGGCATTATTAATTGGACATGCCCATTCTTCTACATTAAAACTGGTGATATGTTGCCCTTATTTCAGTCTTTGAAGGGAGCACAATCACCAAGAGATTTAGTTGTATTAACTGATCTTCAAAGAACATGCCTTCAAGAAATATTGAATAAGTTTAAGCATCGATATGTGGACAGGATAACATCCTTAACAATAGGACTTTGCTTAGCTATTCTTCCCACTACACGCTTACCTACGGGATGTCTTTATTCTAATGCATCCCCACAAGTGGTCAACATTCATGAATGGATTAATTTGTCAGCTACTCTGCCTAGAAACATTTATCCTTATCAATCAGCATTAGAGGATCTATTATTAAAGGTCGTAAACAAGCCTTACATCTTACAGGACAGGATCTCATTAGCATAGCTTTCACTCGTACAAAAGTTGAACATGAGCATTTGATGATGATTTCAGAATCATATCAGATAGCCTTTTCTCAATATGTGGGAAACTTGATGTATTCTTTACCCAAGGATCCTAGAATAGTGGTTACTACTACTTTAAATCCAGCCTTTTCTTCCATTTTTGTGAGAAATCCTATTTCTAAAGCTCTTACAGTCTTTACTGATGGATCACCTATAAGGGGTGTGGTTCACTGGCAGATTCAACAACAATGGTATTCTAAATTTACTGCCACGCAGACTTCAGCTCAACGTGCTGAGCTGGCTGCTGTGATTTTGGCTTTATGATTGTTCAATGACCAACCTATTAACTTGATCGTTAATGCTCAATATGTGTATTTAGCTATGCAATCTCCTCCCTTTTCTTATTGTGCTCTCTCTTTGGATAAGAATTTGTTGCAAAGTAATTTAAAATTTCATGATCTCAAGCCCGGGATATTGTCCGTGCTTGTCCAGCTTGTCAGCAACTGGCAGTTTCCTTTCCAGTAGGTGTCAACCCACGAGGAACCCAAGCTAATCAAATTTGGCAAATGGATGTAACTCAATTTTCAACCTTTAAGCCATACTGTTATCTTCATACGTCTATTGACACTCATTCACACTTCCTTTGGGTTACTGCTTCACAACATGAACGTACTTCAGATGTTATTTCTCATTGCCTATCCTCTTTTGCTGTAATGGGTCGGCCTTCTCAGTTTAAAACTGACAATGGTCCCACTTATATTAGTAATGAATTTCAAACCTTTTGTCAGAAATGGAATATTACTTTAGTGCACGGAATTCCTTACAACTCTCAGGGTCAAGCTATAGTTGAGTGAGCTCATCGTACTTTTAAGGCATTGCTTCAGAAACAATTACAAACTGAGTCTGGCCCTTACCATCTGCGAAAGATTCAAAATCTCATTGCTGTAGCATTATATACTTGGAATTGTTTAACCTTTTTAGATTCTCTTGCAGACTCACCTGTTAATTTGCATTTTCAAGCTACTGAATCTTTAGCAAGGCCTTTGGTAAAATATCGCCAAGCTCCAGATCCAACCTGGAAAGGCCCTACACCGCTGATCACCTGGGGTCGCGGTTACGCCACCGTGGAAGATCCTTCTACTCGACAAGCAGTGTGGGTTCCAGCACGCTGTGTTTGTCCATATCATGGCATGGCATCAGGGCCTTCATAACCCGATTCCAGATTTCAATCTTCATCTGAACACGGAAGTCCGTCTTCCAAGGTCGACTCACCCGCAACCCATCACTTGGGGCCAGGTTAAATCTACTACATATCAAGCTCAACAACAACTGCAACAGGCCTTATTACCTCAGACTCCTGAAAATCTTGTTGCTGCTGTTTTTGCTATTATTACTGCTAACTCTGTTACCATTTTACTTTGTATTTTCTTGTTTATGGTTAATGGTGTTTCTGCTCAAAATGACACTTCTGTGGTTCATCTTAACCCTAATTTGTGGGTTCGTCATGCCCAATACATGTTTATGACCCATGGCACAAATATTACTTTATACTATGAGCCCCCAATGGCATTTGGTCAAATTTCTTTTACCCCTAACTTGATCATGTCTTCTACATTTATTGTCTCACAACTACGATCTATTTCACACTCCTGGCTATTTTCTACACCCTCTATGCAATTGAATTCTGTCCATTGGCGTTACTTGAAAGTTAGTCAATTTACAACAAGTCTGTGTTTCTGTTGTCACGCTAAACACACTTGGCTTCATAATTGGTCTGATTATGATGCTGCTCAGCACATATTAAAAAAGCTAGGGAATTATAGTTATTGTTCTACTACTGGTTGTCAGGTACCTTTAATTCTTCCTTGCATGGAATTAATATAGCTCCTGATATGTATCCTGACAATTTTCCTATTTTTAATGCCTTTGATCAATCTAATACAGGATCGATATGCGCTGGTTGGCAGCTTAAAGATTCTAATATGTGGTTCTTTTTTGATAACTATGCTACTAATGTTCATCCTCAGAATTATCAATGTGCAACTATAGGTTATTTTACTCTACCTGTTCAAATAGGTACGCTCCCATCAACTGGACAGCGGCGTTCCTCTCTGGGGCCTACATGTAATGATGAAGTCATTATTGACACACAATTGTCTTCTGGTTCTACATTTGGCCATGCATTGGCAGGGGCGTTACAGGAGTCCTTACTCTGGGCTCTTATCCTGGCATAATTGCTCAAGAAAACAGACGATCTATTCTTGGTCTCACCTGCAGACTTGAAAAATCCATCAACGCTACCGCTGCTATTATTCGTGATTTGCAGCATGAAATAGAAGACTTAAATCAAGATGTCTTACAGCAGTGTTTTGCCATAGACTATCTTTTAGCTCATCAGGGAGAGTTCTGTATGTTAGTCGGACACCGTGGATGTGCTGTGCATTTTCATTCTTTGAATAAAACTATTGAGGATGAGCTTGCCAATTTACAATCATACATTCAAAATAATATCCATGCTCATTACTCACCTTTTGAGTGGCTAACCAATTGGCTCCCTGATTGGTCTTGGCTCAGACAGTTTTTCTTTTATGCTATAATTATTATTATTGTACTAATTGAAACCTGTTGTTTTATTCAATGTATTCCAAATTTATTTGCATTGTTTTGTCCTGCTTCCCCCTCTCTTAATCCTCTACAATTGCGATACATTCATAAATCTTTGAATCCTCCATTTAAAATAAAAAACGAGGATATGTAGAGTTGTAATTGCAGGAATATTCCAATCTCAGATGGCAAACCTCAGATAAAGAATGTTTCCAAGCAAATACAACTCAGGTAAACAAAGTCACTAATCTAAAGGAGGATTAGAGAGGAAGTAAACATATGTTAGACTTTAACTAGAGATAATTAATTGTATGGATTACTATGCTAAACAGTAAAGAAAGTTAAGCAGTAACCAAAGTTAACCAATGATGGAGGATAACTAAAAATGTGTATAAATGCAAGACTAGACTCCAATAAAGATCATCATGATTCAGTTGTTCATGGTCAAACAACTCGACTGCCTCATCATTACAACAAATCCTCCGGTAGCTCTGATGGAAAATGTATTTCAACTATATGCATGATTGGGGTTATCTCCAGCTAAATTTAAACCACTATGGATTCCCTGATTTCTTCACTCCTTTGGGGAATTCCTATTTCAGCACCATGCTTCCTCTCTTTGCCAATGAAGCAGTGAATCAATCAGGAGAACAGGAAATTTTAGCGCCATTTTTTTCCCATAGACTCATTCCAAAGCTAGTTGGTTTTTGCTTCTTTAAGAAAAGTGGGGTTGAAGGAGATGGAAGATATTTGACTGTAAGCTCTGGAACTTCTTCGACTTTATTTGAAAAATAGAAGAATTATTCAATAAGGATCTTGACTTAAAGGCCACCATCTCCTCAGAGAATAGCTATTGATGTTTTATCATGAAGCAGAAATGTGCCTTTCTTTATACATTTATTGTAACATGGGTCATTTGAACGATGAAATGGAAAGGCACAAAAAAAACCTTCAAGCCCTGTACGGTATATAGGTAGTCTTTGATTTACAATCATTTCTTTAGTGACCATTTGAAATTACAACAGCACTGAAAAAAGTGATTTATGGCCATTTTTCACACTTATAACCTTTGCAGCAGTGGTGGTATTCAGCAGGTTCTGACCAGTTCTGGAGAACTGGTAGCGGACATTTTGAGTAGTTCGGAGAACTGACAAATACCACCTCTGAATCCCATAAACTGATTTGCAGCACTGAATCCCACCACTGATTTGCAGCCTTCCCTGTGATCATGTGATCAAATTTGGGATGCCTGGTAACAGACATGTATTTATTATGACAGTTGCAGTGTCCTGGGATCAAGTGATCACCATTTGCAATCTTCGCACAAGCAGTCAATGGGGAAGCCAGATTCACTTAACAACCATGTTACTAAATTAACAACTGCAGTGTGATTCACTTAACGGCTGTGGCAAGAAAGGTCATAAAATGGAGCAAAATTCACTTAACAAATGTCTCACTTAACAACAGAAATTTTGGGCTCTATTGTGGTCGTAAGTCGAGGACTACCTGTGTATGTGAATGATTTGCATATGTGTCTGTGTCTGTGGATCTAGAATTAGATCTGAATAGAAATCTATATAAATATATATAAAAGCGAAATACCACTCACGCATCATCACAATATCTCCCAAACCGTAAAGCCTACAAACTTGAAATTTGGCACATAAGTTCTTCTTGGCTTCTAGGTGCTCACTAAGAAAGGATTTTTCAAAATGACCATCAGAGATTAGAGATCCTTGCTGTCTCTTTCTTGTTCACGCAGCAAATACTGTTTCAGTTTCCAAACAGCCCTCAACTCTCACACACTGACAGAATGCTAGCCAGATGAATACTGATGGATGCTGGTAGGCAGAGGCAGAACTTTTTTTTTCTCATTATTTGCCTCCCCAAAAACTAAGCCTAATCACATAGTTTCATAGCGAATCATGGATATGGAGCTAGTAAACCTTAATAGATCCTGAGGTACAAGACTATTTTAAATGGAAGAGCCAACTGTTTGAAGCTATTAGGACAGTTTCCCCCAATCTGTTGTCTTCCAGATACATTGGATCTAATCATAATTCTAAACCAACATGGTCAGGTCTGGAAGCTGTAAAAACGACGTATCTGAAAGGCCGTAAGTTGCATTATGGAATGACACAGACAGCCCTTCCACCAGGGGGTTATTCATCGAAAAGATTGTCAAGCTTACTTTCAAAGTCAGGAGGCACAGATATACTTTTAAAAGCATTTACTTTATCAAGGTTTCTACTTTTTAGGAGACCATCAGTACAATGTTGTAGGTTACCTAAAGCAGAAAAATGCCCTTTGGATTTTTGAATTTCCTTTAAAAGCCATCTTTATTATTGTATTCCAAGATAGCAGCACCAAGAACAGACGTAGGACCTGAGCAACAACAACAACAAAAAAAAAACACCTCAGCAGATTAAACATACAAAACAAAATAATGATCTCTTACAACTCTCTTAGCAACACGCTTGTTTTGCTGGTTTGGAAATGGAGTGGTCAAAAGCGAGGCAAGCTGGTAGCTGATTTAAATTCACCTGATTGTATGACTTTGTAAGTCCTTTTCCCACTTGTAACACAGCAACGACACACTCTGAGAATAGCTTTTGTTCTGTGATAATCCCCTCGATGCTCCCATCATCTTGTCCTCAGCTTAGGAGCAAAAAGGCTGATCTTCTCTATCTAGAAGATTCTTCTTCAGCTTTACTGGTGTTCAAATAGTGTTTTCCCCCCTCGCATATTCGGACACCCAGCCCCCTCCAGAGCAGTTCTAAGGTGCATAAAATCCATTGGGCCTTGGTCACCCCATTCCCTTGAAGGGAGTCATGAGACTGCATTGACGGGGGACAGAATCGGGATAGGGATTAAGTACAGTGGCGAGATTCCAAATTTTTCCCTACCTACTCGATGAGAGCACGCTTCGGTTCTCCGAACTACTCAAAATTTCCGCTCCCGGTACGCCAGAACCGGTCCGAGCCAACTGATCTCTGGATTGGTAACAGGAACAGCCGGCTCCCTGCTGGCATCACTTTTGGCCAGTTCATAGGTAGATGAAGAGAACCTCCACTCAACAGTGGGGAACGAGCCTTAGTGTACTATCTAGGAGATCACTGGCATAGAGGTGGACTCTCACCTCACAATCAGGAGGCTGTGAGTTCGATCCTAGGTAGGGGCTAATATTTGGAATATTATTGACCTCCTGCTCGAGCAGGAGGGGGGTCAGACGAGATGACCTCCAAGGTCCCTTCCAACTCTTATGTTATGCTATGTTATCTGCAGGTTTCTTTGTGCTGGTCTTTGTGTCTCCACAAATAGAAATGTTAAGGACCCATGTTTTGAAAAGAAACAAGTAAAACGAACACTCTGACAGCTGTCAGAGATGTTCTCCACCTTCTGTGGGTTTAGAGCCCTGAGGTGATGGACGGTGAACAAAGCAAGAATTCAGCCTCTTCGTTTAGTCCATCTAGCTTGCAACAAGATCCTCTTCCCTGGGCCTAACCTGGCCACCTTTTGGCAAGCTTACTATCCTCTGGGAAGAATTTGCTAGGAAGCAGCAGCCCCCGTGAATCCCTCACGCGGCTGCCCGCAACCTTCATATTGCACCATCCCGCTTTCAGCATGACCCCTTCTTCGCGGTACCCTGTCCTCTCTATGGCAACAGATGCCATGAACCACCAGGTGATGGAGGGGGTGGGTGGACTCTCTGGCAGACCCAGAGGAATCTCTCTGCTTTACGATTAGCTGAGCTGGACCCCTTCCTTTGTTTTTGTGGCATTGGATTTACCGCCCGAGATGATTACAGACGCCATTTCTTCGGCACCATAAAGAAGGCCAATCCTTCTGAGGCCCAATGGCTGCCTTCCGCCTACGGATAACCAGTGGGATCGATCCCATTTTGCAATACACCTTTAGTCCACAGCCCTCAGGTGCAGCTTGGCCTGTGTGTCTTGGGCTGAGCAAGGGGGAACAGGGATTCCTCCAGTCTCCTGATGTTCTTGCTCCATGGTGGATTCCGCAGTTTCCGCGAACTCCTCTTCTTCTTGCCTTTGAGCAGGTGGCACACAAGGGCTTTGGCGCTAGCATGGAGCCAGCTGGGTCCTGAGCTGGAGTTGCCCTGAAGGACCCCAAACAGGTCCGGCAGGTCCTGAGGCAGGCGGTAACGGGGAAGAAGGCGCAGAGCACAGGGAATATCCCGCCAGTCGCACAGTTTACTGAAGTAGGCAATTACCCAGTCACATCGCTGGACCGTACCTTGAAGTTCACCTTGTAAACAGGCCATGGCTGCCCCAAAGAGGTCATAGGGCTCTGGGGCTTTCGTACCAGGGCTACTGGCCTCTCCTTGCCAGAGTCCATAAGCGTTGGCACTGCCTGCGCTCCACAGCAGTAGCACCTGGCCCTGCTTGCGACCCACAAGTTCCCGTTGGGCGTACATCCAGGGCAAGATGCCCAGTCGTCCCACGTGGCCCAGCTCCCAGAGGTCCAATAGCACCGGGCAGCCCAGTGCTGACCGCAACAAGGCGGCGAAGGAGCAGACCAACTGTTTGTGCTCCTCTGAATCAGGAGAGTAGATCAGCAGGATGGGACAAGAATGGTGCCGGCAAGATGCGTCTGGAAGAGAAACAGAAGTGAAAGAAATTAAAGAAAAAGAAGAAACTGAATATTACATAGTATGGAAAATGTTTTATCAATGGATAAAAAAACAGAACAACCTAAAAGGATTTGATGTATTTACAGAGCAATTAAAGCTTTTCCTTTGGAAAGTCATATTTTCTACTTCGCTGCTTGAGATTGGAAACAGTATAGAGTCACATCCACCCACACTCATTATAAACCAGTTCTTCTGATGCTTTATTACCTCTATGGAGTCTGTGCATCTTCCAGTGAATCAGGAAGATTGCCAAAGCCAGCAATCCCAGGCCCAAACCTACAGCAAAGGCCAGCAGTCCCCAGCGTCGGTGAGAAACTAGCAGAAAAAGAAATTTGAAGGGAAGTGGTGTTAAATTGTTACAGAAAGTAATTCTTGATTACCGGTGCATTTCTGCAGAAATGTATTCATGTAATATCTCCTACTTACCACTTTCCCTCAATCTGGGCTTGTCAGATGTAAATAGAGATAGTTCTTGACTTACAACCCTTCATTTAGTCACCATTCAGTTACAAAGCACCCCCCAAAAAATGTGACTTACAATCAGTCCTGACACTTACAACCAACATAGCAATCCCAAGGTTACGTGATCACAATTTGTTTGCTCGGCATCTGGCATGTATTTACAATGTTTGCAGTGTTCTTGCAATCACATGACTTCCGTTTACAATCTTCCCAGCCAGCTGCTAGCAAGCAAAGTCAATGGGAAACTCCAGACCGCAGGATTTTCAATTGCAATGATCTGCTAACAACCTTGGCAAAAGGGTTGTAAAATTAGGCACGACTTGCCTAACAACCAGTTTACTTAACAATGGAAATTCTATTCTTGGTTGTGGTAATAAGTCAAGGACTGCTTGCACCAGAGTTCTTTGGACCATTTACCTCAGAGGTGTCAAACTCAAGGCCCGTGGGCCGGATTTGACCCACAATGCAGTTGGATCCAGACTGCGGAGCCGTCCTGGAAAATATAAGGGGCCGGTCCCCGTCACTTCGGCCCAGTCTACCCAATGTGAAGAGGAAACATGCTAGCAATTTGGGGAGTGGTGTCAAGATGGCCACGCCCACCCAGCTGGCCATGAGGTCAATCACAGCCCTGATGCGACCCTCATATAAAATTGAGTTTGACTTTGACGCTCCTGATCTACCTGGTCCTGTGTGGTCAAACACTTCTGGAAGACATCAGGTTGAGGAAAGTTTAAATATTACAATGAATACTTTTTTTTGACCCTGCCTTATGTAACTAAGCGCAAGAAAGCCATTAGCAAGTTTAAGGAAATCACAACATGTCCCAAAATGAACCCAAAAGGAAAATAAACATCTAAGGAAGAAAAATCCTACAAATGATGAATGAGCATGTTCACTTTGCACTAAAAATTCTTTTGGAAGTGGGAAGGAAAATTAGGATATAAAAAGCATGAGTGCAGAGTTGTAATTGCAGGAATGTTCCAATCTTGGATGGCAAACCTCAGATAAAGAATGTTTCCAAGCAAATACAACTCAGGTAAACAAAGTCACTAATCTAAAGGAGGATTAGAGAGAGGAAGTAAACATGTGTTAGACTTTAACTAGAGATAATTAATTATATTAATTACTGTGCTAAACAGTAATGAAAGTTAAACAGTAACCAAAGTTAACCAATGATGGAGGATAATTAAAAATGTGTATAAATGCAAGACTAGACTCCAATAAAGATCATCATGATTCAGTTGTTCATGATCAAACAACCCGACTGCCTCGTCATTACAACACATGAGAAACGGAATTGAGTATAACCAGATGTTTTTCAAACCTGGTGGTTTTAAGATGGTGTGGAGTTCAACTTCCAGAATTCTCCAGCCAATTGAAGTACACACATCTTAAATTGCCTGGTTTGAAAACCACTGGGATAACCAAAGAAAGAATGGTTGATGGGCTGAACACATACAAAACTCATTAATGAAAAATCATTAATCTATTAATCTCATCACTCCTTATCACCCATCCCCTCCCATTTGTGACTGTATGACTGTAACTTTGTCGCTTGTATCCTTATGGTTTATATTGACTGTTTCCTAGTATGCTTTGATTGTTTATTGTACCCTATGACTATTATTAAGTGTTGTACCTTATGATTCCTGACTTTTGATGAATGTATCTTTTCTTTTATGTACACTGAGAGCTTATGCACCAAGACAAATTCCTTGCGTGTCCAATCATGCTTGTCCAATAAAGGAGTCTATTCTATTCTATTCTCAAAACACGCTTCTGAATTTTGCAGCATAATTATTTCCCTTTCTTGTACAATATGTTAAGGGAATAGATCGGATTCATTATTTTCATGCTAGGCATTTTTTTAATCAACCATCATTTGATGAAACAAGGTTGGAATTATAGCACACACTTTTAAAAAAAATATTACAAAGTCATAAGGAAACAGGACAGACTGGATGTAAGGCTAGAAAAAAATGGAGAAAATAGATCTGCTATCCCCATTGCAAAATTTTTGTCTGTGCTTTCCCTTGTTAATCTTTAATTGGAATTGTCATCTTATTTCTTCTTGTTCACAAGAAGGAAAGGAGTTCTAGGGAACGCAGTCATTAATCATGACGTTCTGTTTTCCAAGGAATACCCTAATGATTTTCTGAGTCATTGGTTTCAACCATCAACGTCGGCCCTTCCGTAAGTCCTCTAGCTTGTTTCTTTAAGTTCTGGAATCTCTTCCAAATATCTGAGAAAGACATAACTCCGACCGTTGGCGAGAAGACCCAGGACTGCTCTCTCTACCTTCCAAGACATTAATGGCCATTTTTCACACAATCTCCTCTTTATTCACCCTGTTCTTTACAGAACAATCTTGTAACTTACCATCTGGACACAGGAGTCGCTTGCCAGCAAACTGTACATCAGAACGCCAGACCTAACAAGTGAAAAAAATGAGGTGGAATGGGACAATGGAACTCAGTACAGATAGTCCTTGACTTACAATAGTTCACTTAGTGACTGTTCAAAGTTACAACGGCGCTGAAAAAAATGTGACTTATGATTGTTTTTCACAGTTACGACCTTTGCAGCATCCCCCCCACAATCATGTGATCAAACTTCAGCTGCTTGGCAACTGGTTCATATTTATGACCGTTGCTATGTCCCAAGATCCCCTTTTGCAATTTTCTGACGAGCAAAGTCAACGGGAAAGCCAGATTCCCTTAACAACCGGGTTACTAACTTATCAACTGCTGTGATTCACTTAACCACTGAGATAAGAATGGTCGTAAAATGGGGCAAAACTCACTTAACAAATGTTTGACTTAACCACAGAAATTTTGGGCTCGCTTGTGGTCGTAAGTCGAGGACTACCTGCATTGTGGCCAAGTGTGTTAATGTGCACCTATGTGCTCCTGTTGAACTGGCATTTTATTCTTATCAATTTGTCGGCTAATTTGCAGGTATAAGTAGTCCTTGGCTTACGACTACAACAATGATAAAAAATAACTTAGCAATCAGTCCTTGCATTATGACTTTCGCAGGGTCTCTCTGCTCTTATTTTCATTTGCTTATTCACCCCATATCGAGATGTCCCCAAAGAGGAAGAACCCCAATTCGACTGAAGGCCGTAGCCAGAAGCAAAGGAAAACTGATCACAAAATCATAATCATAACGAAAATCATAAAATCCGGGTCATGTGATTTTCACTTAGTGACTGCTTTGCTCAACAGCCAAGTTGCCAGGCCCAATTCCTCACTAAACAAGAACTACCTTTAATTGACTCCCTAGGGTAAAACCATACACGTTTCACGAAGGAATTAAGTCAAGGTAAAGGTTCCCCTCACACATAAGTGCCAGTCATTTCCTGCTCTAGGGGGCGGTGCTCATCTCCGTTACAAAGCCAAAGAGCCAGCGCTGTCCGAAGACGTCTCCGTGGTCATTTGGCCGGCATGACTAAACGCCGAAGGTGCACAGAACGCAGTTACCTTCCCACCAAAGGGCTCCCTATTTTTCTACTTGCATTTTTTACATGCTTTCAAACTGCTAGGTTGGCAGAAGCTGGGACAAGTAACGGGAGCTCACTCCGATACACACGGCTAGGGATTCGAACTGCCAAACTGCTGACCTTTCTGATAGACAAGCTCAGCGTCTTAGCCACTGAGCCACCCCATCCCTAAAAGGAATTATTCCTCCCTTAATTAATTGCTAAGAAAAGGAATAACAGAAGCTAATCCTTACCAGCACACAACTTCTCAAGACTGTCCAAGGAAGAATGAGATTCATTTCACCCAAGGCAGATCCCCCTGTCTGCAAAACATAATCTTGAATTAAATCCAGGATACGTCCTCCAGCTACCATCCAGGTCAAATAACAACGTCATTTTTTTAGGCTTTCCTCACTCAAAATTCATGATTGAGTTATTTCTGGAAACTACCCCGAATTCCTCCTCTTGAGACCGGCAGCCACTTACATGCGTGATGGTATAGACAGCGGGTTCAGGTTGACACTGGCTTGAAGATACCGGCTGGCATAAGCTGGAACTGAAAGAAGCCGCTGTGCGAGAACGGAAGTTTAAGTGAAGTTGCAGAAATTTCACATGGAGAGATACATTCCAGGTAGCATCTAGAAAGAAAGAACAAAGTCAGTTGTGTTCATTCTTCAGCCAACGCCCTGTTATCTCCAATCTTTTGAGGAGAAATATGTTACCGTATATATGATAAATGTACTGACAATAAGTATGAGCCATGATGGCGCAGTCGTTAGAGTGCAGTACTTCAGGCTACTTCTGCTGACTGCCAGCTGACTGCAATTTGGCAGTTCAATCTTGACCGGCTCAAAGTTGACTCAGCCTTCCATCCTTCCGAGGTGGGCAAAATGAAGCAATAGGATGACTCTATAAACCGCTTAGAGAGGGCTGTAAAGCACTGAGTTTAAGTGCTATTGCTAAGTGTTATTGCTATTGTATTGCTATTCACAATACATTGAGAAAAATAAGATCTTATAAGTTTGAAATTTACCCTTTTTTGATCCAACACTTCTATACTTTCTTCCATTAGCAATTTTCCTGGAGGTAACATCTGAGCTAGTGCTACCCATTTTTCTGAAAACATTAATTACCTTCTGCTATTATTCAGTTATTATACTGTACACACAGTATGCATCTTGAAGACCAAAAGGTCTTTTAAAGCAATAAACCTTCAGTTTATATCCCTTAAAGTTTCATGTCAAAGACAACTATCACATGTTAAGATTCAAATGTTGATCTTCCTGCTTAGCATCCTACCACTGGATTCAGATTACAAAATACTATTCCATTATTGCAACTTGCAGCATACCACAGACCCATTTGCCCCTACACTGGTTGTGGTATGTACAAAATAGACAGACCTGTACCATGACCCCATTTACGAGGTTCTCTATTTTTTCTTTTTAACCAAGATTGGACAGAAATCCCAGAACATTGTCTTAATTTGTTAGACTGCACCTTGGAAGCAGTGGCTGTGGTTAAATAAAAATTGTCTCTATTAATTATTGCAAAAAGTTACTTAGGAATAAACTCTTTTGAGTTGCCCTTGGCATTTGCAAAGGAAACTTGATCAGAACATAGACTAGAGATAATCAAAGAAAATCCAGATAGTAGCAGGTTACAAAACAATGGTTTGTTTCCCTATAGGAATCATAAAAGTTCATTAGCACCAATTGTGAAGATATGATGCTCATTAAGTGATTTTTCAGAAGAAGAGTACAAAGAGATTGACAAAAATAAAGGTTTGCATTGTGACTTTACTTAAGTACCTGTCTGGTGTGGGCACTCAGTGTGGCTGGTGTTCATATAAGAAAACTAAAAAAAAAAAAAGATAAATTGTTGTGTTATGACTCATCATGTAAAACCCTGCTGTTAATATTTAATACTCAAGAATATTTAAGTCCCCCAACCTTGTACCTTTCTTCATTAAACGTTCGTCATACAAACTAGAATGAGGAACTGCCCTAAATCAAAGGACTGAACTATAGTAAATATTTTAGTTATTGCTTCAAGGCTGAAGCCTGACTATCTAACTTGATTTTAAAGACTTCCAGAAATGAAGATTTACTAAAATTTATGGGGGGGGGGAATCTGTAATTCAACCAAGAATAATACAATTCTTTTAAAAATTAATCTCTTTTAAAAATTCTTTTAAAAATTAAAAATCTCACTGGGCCTCCTGTATTTTAACCAAAACTCTCCTGACATTTTGTACAAGATCAGAAAGATCTTATGTGATTTGCCATCATTTCTATTTTAATTCAATATGGGAAGTCATAGGGATGTAGGCAGAGCAGAGATACCTTGCAGATACCATATTAGCACTCCCGAACAATGAGTGCTAATAGGTCGAACAATGAATCAGTGAAACAACTTGCCTCCAGAAGTTGCAAATGCTGCAACACTGGAAGTTTTTAAGAAGAGATTGGATAACCATTTGTCTGAAATGGTATAGGGTTTCCTTCCTAAGCAGGGGGTTGGACTAGAAGACCTCCAAGCTCCCTTTCAACTCTTCTGTTCTATTTCTATTTGTATTCCTATTCTGGATTGTTCTTTCTAAGGACTGATTCATTTGTAGTCCTGCAGGCGTAGCCTATAGTAACCCATCTAGAGCTACTACATCTTCATCTTCTATCATTACTTGAGATATTCCACAGAATTTTAAGCAAACATACACCTCATATGCTACTAATGCATCGTTTCCTTGGAGAAACGATGCATGCTTTTTATTTGTGTTTATTTAAAGGACTTACATGACCGCCTTCTTATACAATATAACCCTGGGTAGCTACAACAGTCAGATTACTGTAAATGCATGAAAAATGCATTTTAAAAGACTTTTTGATGACTGTTTACTGAGTCTGAAAAGAGTTACAAAGTAGTTTGGGCTGAGTAATTTTCCTTTGGAATAGCGCATTTTGCTCTAGAGGTGATCCTCAATTTACAACTATAATGGAGTCTGCCCATCACAATCTTAAGTCATGACTGACCCAATTTTAAGACCTTTCTGCGGTGATCATTAAATAAACCAATGATTCACTATGGGATGTTTTTGCTGAAAAATGGAAGTAAATGTCATTTTATTTTTGATGAAACTCTTATAAAATGTGGCCACATGACTGTGGAACCCCGCAAACAGCTGTAAAAGCAGGCCAGTTGCCAAGAAACCAAGATACGGTCACATGATTACAGTGGGAAGGGTCACCTTGGAACTTTGGAAGCGGGTCGTAAGTCCCCTATAGGGAGGTTCACCATAAATTCAAACAGTTACTAAGCTGCAAGTCGTCAGCCGAGGTGTAAGTCAACTCCCCATATACATGCCTCTTAGCTGTGCACTTTCATAACAGCACAGATACAATCTACTTCAACAGCCTCTGAATTAGATAAAGTTCATTGCTTTCACTGCATGCTTGTACCTTCAAAATTCTGGAGCCTTCATGAGGCTTGTGATAGATCACAGTAACTCAGTTCTTAAGAGGCGACGATCTTGTAAAGATACAATGGGTGTCTGTCTGTAGATACATCTCTTACCTTGAAGCAGAGCTGTGGGTTCACATCTACACTTTCAATGATGTGCGCCTAGAGTAAGAACTACATGTTAGGACAATGGAAGGCAGTATCTCTCTTTCTCTCTCTCCCCCTCCCTCCCTCCCTCCCCCTCTCCCTCCCTCTCTCTTTCAGAACCCAATATAGTGTTTGTGCCTCAAAATAACCATGGTAAAAAACAATAAGCAAGTCTTATTATTATATCTACAAGGACTAGGAGTAGGGACCATGCTGCCATGGTGGTGTAGTGGTTAGAATGCAGTACTGCAGGCTGCTCCTGCTGACTACCTGCTGCCTGCAATTTGGCAGTTTGATTCCCACCAGGCTCAAGGTTGACTCAGCCTTCCATCTTTCCAGGGTTGTTAAAATGAGGAGCCGGAGTGTTGGGGGCAGTAGGCCGGCTCTGTAAAACTGCTTAGAGAGGGCTGCAAAGCACTGTGAAGCAGTATATAAGTCTACTGCTATTAAAAATCGGAAGGATCTGGCTGCGTTTTCTCCAACTTGTTCAAAATGCAGCAGCTCTAGTAATTAAGGGTGTGCTGGAGTATATGGACATTAGTGGTCCCCAACCTTTCCAGGTTGATGGCCCGGCCTGGCACGGGGGTGGGTGGGGTGAGGAATAGCATGTGAGTGGCAGGTGCACACACATGCACATGCAGGTCTATTAGTTGTAGTGACGGGCGCAGACACACTCCACTCGCAAGAATGTAGCTTCGTACGCGGGCACTTAACGTTCGCATGCAAAGCTGCAGTCGTGCAAGTGGCAAGCACTGGCACCCTAGTGCAAAGCTCCACTTGCACAAGTGGAGGGCGTTTGTGCAGAGGATGCTTGTGATCGTGCGCAAAGCTCCACTCACGCAGAGTGCTCCTGCGCAAAGCCCCATTCGCACGAGTGAAGCTTTATGTGCAAGCACCCTGTTTGCACGAGTGAAGCTTCGCACACAAGCACAAACATCCTCCACTCAAGTACCCTCCACTTGTGCAAGTGGAGCTTTGCGTATGCCGCTAAGGCTCCACCGCTCACACAAATGGAGCTTCACGCACACACATGCCCATCTCTCGCATAGCCTAGTTTCAAACAGGCTGCGGCTTGGTAGTGGGACACAGTCCAGGGGTTTGGGGACCCCTGATTTAGATGGCACCTCCGCTACAAGAACTGGCGTTTGGTACTGGTTATCTCTTGGTTGCAATTTAAAATACTGATTGTTACTTTTAAAGCCCTATATATACTCAGGCCTGGTATCCCCAAAATTGCTTGCTCTGAACAAATCTACCAATCCAGCAAAATTGGAAAGAGAAGCCAGATCAAGAGTCCTGCTTCTGAAAGAATAGGGCAGTGCTGGCTACCCTTTTTGGGCTCCTCTGCCAAAAATTGTGCGCGCGCTTGCATGCTTGCGCTCACGTGCCAGCATTCAGAAGGCAATGTATCCCCCCATGCCCCCTACGCATGTGCGCACAATCCTACTTAACTGCACTATGCCTCACAGCTGATTTTTGTCTGGTTTGAGGCCTTTTTCGGCCTCCCAAAGGCTCGAGGAAGGCTTCTGCAGGCTTCTACAAGCTTTGTAGGCTGAAATCTGGCCTTATTTCATTACTTCCTGTTTTTTCGAAAATACCGGAAGTGACAAAACAGGGCTAGATTTTGTCCTACAAAGCTTGTAGAAGCCTGCAGAAGCCTTCCTCGAGCCTTTGGGAGGCTGAAAAGGACCTCAAACCAGCCGAAAATCAGCTGTGAGGTGCACACATGCACAATGAGGTAAGTTTGCCTGCAGCTTGCGTGCCAGCACAAATGGCTCTGCGTGCCGCTTGTGGCACACGTGCCATAGGTTCGCCATCACGGGAATAGGGGAACATCAGAGACCTGAAGCACGAAATCTTTCAAGCAGTGGTGAGATGCTGCCAGTGTAACGATCGGTTCACCACGCACGTGTGAACAGCTTTCCGAAAAAACTTACCTACTATGCTACTACTGGGGAGTGACATAGCTGAGGAGCGGCAATCTGCTCTGCTGCGTGAATCAGTTGAGAGGATATAGGTAAGTACAGCGTAGGGGCGGGGGGAGGGGCGGGCCCACATGATCATTGGAGCGAACCACTTTGCTGCCAGCTGATCGTCGGAGCTAGAGGTTCGCCCAAACGAGTCTGAACCAGTCCAATCCCACCCCTGCTCTCAAGACATGGTGCACAAGACTCACGCCCCTCTTGTGGAACCAGCTTCCCCCACATATAAGGCCATAGTCTTCCTTCTTCCTCTGCTTCCATGGAACAGTTTTTTTTTAACCCATCTACTGGAGATTGGCCCAAAGGATGATTTTGCCCCAAGATCTCCAGGCACCATGAACCAATGAATGAATGAATGAGTGAATCTTACTTACTGCAATAGGAATTGTAAGCCTGTCAGTGTCTTCAAATTCGAATGGCATAGAACTCTGAATAAATAAAGAAAATAAGTCAATTAATTCCAGAGGTACAATGTCGAAACATCTCAGGATGATTCCCCCCCCCCATAACCTGCTTCTCTCTCATTTCCTCAGCTAGCCTGGCAGGTTTGGGAGAGGCTAACTGCCTGATAAGGACATTCTCTTAACAAACATCACTCTGCCTTCCACCCAGGGGTGGGATTCAGAATTTTTAACAACCAGTTCTGTGGTGGTGGCTGTGGCTTGGTGGTCATGTGACTGGGTGGACATGGCTTGGTGGTCATGTTATTGGCTGGGGTGGCCAACTCAACTCACTCACATCAAGGCACGCATCTCCTCACCTGGCCTCTCATGACTGTGGGGATGCTGCAACAGTCGTAAGTGTGAAAAATGGTCATAAGTCACTTTTTTCAGTGCCATTGTAACTTTGAATGGTCACTCCACACAAGCAAAGTACCAGCAAAGGAGGGGAAAAAAACTCCAGAGACAGGAAGTCTAGTCCTGCCAAGAATGTAATAAGGGTTAACAGAGAGGCAGTTTCTGTAAGCAACCCCAGAATGTTTCCTTCCTGTCTTCCTTACAGGATTAGGCCAGTAATTTCTTCTAACAACCGGTTCTCCGAACTGCTTAGAATGTTAACAACCGGTTCTTGCGAATAGGTCCGAACTGGTAGAATCCCACCCCTGGCCTCCACTAAGGGAGAGCACGTTCCTAGAATCCCTTGGCCTTCGCTTTGCTACTTGGCTGCCCTTCCTCAAGTCACAAAACCTTGTTATTCTCATCCTATTCGGTATGGTCTCCATGTCCCTTCACCTGCTTGGCTTCGGGGACTGTGGAATTGGGGATATCTTGGCAGGTTGCCTCTGGAACAGAGTTTTCCTTCCAGCAAAGTGAGACAGTGGGGTGAAAGATGCAGCGGCCACTCAGTAATATGGCCATTTCGGTTTTGTCACTGGAACTGAAGTCATGAAAGTGCGCCGAAGACCAGAGATCTGTAGCATCTAGCAAAATAAATAAGGAATATGAACGAATGAACAAAAAAGCGAATGAACGAACAAATGAACAAACCAATGAATGGATGGATGGGTGGATGGATGGATGGAAGGATGGAAGGATGGACCATTCTTTCTTATTTTTTCATGCTATTTGTATGCTGCCCAGAGTTGCTCTTTTAGGTGAATAGGTATTGCATTTCCTACCTACAGTACCCCAGCTGACTCTGTTATCTCAGGTAGAAATAAATATGGAAGAGAAAATGAGCCTTCCTTCCTTCCTTCCTTCCTTCCTTCCTTCCTTCCTTCCTTCCTTGCTTCCTTCCCCTTTTGACATTGTTATACGTAAGGTATAAATAAGTAAAATACTGCAAAGTTTCCCTGAAAAATTAAAATATTACAACATATTTGAAATAATTCTAATGATTAACTATAAAACAACAGTGAGTTGACACAGAGAATGTAATTCCTCCAAGAAAAGCAAACTGAAATCATGCAAAGTTACCCAGTTTTATCTTCATAAATATCCCATGAATTCTCTTAGGTTTAAAGAGAGCAGCTAAGCTGCCACATGTATAATAGCTACCATTTTGTTAAATATAAACTGGCTGGGTTCACAAATCTCAGAAAGTCTAAAACAAATAAACTATGTTAAGGCTGATGTTTGAACCTAGCCAATGGCAACCAACTAATCATTGATTAACCAACTACTTCTGCAAACATTTGCTGAGCACGATTTGGAAATAATTGTTTTGAACACCACAACTCTCTGTCTTTTGATTAGTGAATCAATCAAGTACCTGCCCCTTTTAGCAGAACAAAAAGGGACATTTTCAGACCTTGACAAAGACCATTTGCAGTACAGACAATATATGTATTCATTATGCAAGCCAGAGATTCAGTATGACCATAACAGAAATGAAGAAGTATTGATTGATTCAGTTTGCCAATGATCAGGCAATGATTTGGCAGAGTTTAGTTTTATCTGTTACGTATAGTAAAAAAAAAATTATGTGTTTCTGGTTTGTGCTCGTGTACGTATGTGTGTGTGTGTGTGTGTGTGTGCTTCCTGGACAAATGAAGTCACCCTCTCAACCCTAAGAAGAAGAAAAAATGAAGTTCTGAAATTATTGATAATTATTGAAATTATCATGTTTTCTTGGCAATAATTTCAGAACTTCATTTTTTTTTTTCTTCTTAGGGTTGAGAGGGTGACTTCATTAAGACGGCATTAGGCAAGAATAGAACTTACAGTTTCCTGGCTTTTGTGCCTAGTGTCTTAAACTATTATTCTAAACTATTTCTTTATGTAGAAATTAGCTAATGAATATTTTATGGCAATGAGATAAACAATGTCTGAGCAACAAGGTCCTGGTAAAAAGGTGAGGTTAATAAAAACACAAAACAAAAACCTGTTCTCCATATTGATCATTACTATTATCTTCCTGGTTACATTACAAACTAGTTTCCTGCTATTGCATCAGTCTGTTTCTTGCCTCCAAATTAACTAACAGACTTCCTGAACAGAGAGGAAAAAACGGCAGGGCTCTAAGGACTCCTGAAGTATGGGCATGAACTATGAACGATAATCCACATATACCCACCATTGAAAAGAGACAGTAAAAAAGCTAAGAAGGAAACAAAAAATACTATCTTCAAAAGCCAACATGCAGATAAGCAGGGATTAACACCAGACAAAAATCAAGCAGACAAACAACCAAGCAGAAAATAAAATCCTGATCAAGGAACTATCAAGGACAAAATCACACCTCCATCAACAATGGCAGAGTAACCTATTGTATATAATCAAGGAGCAAATCCCACACTCCCTAGCACGGTTGATGTTACCTAGTTGGGTAATGAAATGCCTACAAGCAAACAACCAAGCTCAACCAAGCACCAAGAATTCTGTGGTATGGGCATCCTATAGTTGCCATTTGTGAGCCACTGACTTTCCCCATAACCTATGAAATCCCAATTCCCGATCAACCAATTAATAAACAAAACAACACTATCATCCATCTTGCCTAAAGCAGAACTCACAGGCTTTTGGCTGATCCTGGAAAGGACACACTTTCTTGCGGAAGCTGTCTTTGTGGTTATGTGATGCCTGCAGAAAAAGAAGCTAAGTCAGAAAGATACTAATTGATTGCATCCCATCCCAATGGTTGATCTCAGGTGGGGCCAAGGATGGAAACTGGCAAGAGCCCCTCCAAAAATATCTTGCCGCCTTCTGTATAGATCAAGGGTCTGCAACCTTACAGTCAAAGAGCCATTTGGACCTGTTTCCCACAGAAAAGAAAACCCTGGAAGTCAATAATTTAACAGCCGGTGTGACTGTGTGGGCATGGCCAACTCAATGTCACTTACTCTCACCCAGTCACCTCCTGCTCTGGAACATGGAACAAGTTTCCATTCCTTGCCATCACCCTGACCTTCTCAGGCCAGGTGAAGAGTGATGTGGAGGGGAGTGAGGGCCCAGCCAGTGGTAGGATCAGCCGTCAGGGAGCCACAGCAGAGGGCTGAAAGAGCCGCATGTGGCTCCAGAGCTGCAGGTTGCAGACCCTTGGTACAGGTCATCAGAGGCATTTATGTTTAGGCATTCTATATTTTAGTTGTACGGTACACAGAATCACTTTTTTGGTGAAATTCCATGAATAAATCAATCAATTAAAATATACAAAGGAAATTTCTCCAAATTTTGCACTGTCCCACTTCAAAAATCCTCACTCTCGAGATGTCTCACACACACCTCTATGCACAGACAAGGAAGAAGAAACTCGTAGTACAGCACCGCGGGTCGATGTTTGGAAACCAGTACCTGGGAGGTAAAGAGAAAACAACCCATTAAAAAAAAACAAATAAGCAAAACTCAACTATGTGTGTTACTAGAGCCACCAAATAAGAGCCAATAATTGAGCATTAAAAAAAATAATAAACGTGCCTCCAAACAAATCCAGAGTTCCAGAATTCATTTACACCACCACATCTAAACTATTACAGATGGTCCTTGACTTACAATCATAATTGAACCCAAAATTTCTGCTGCCAAATGACACAGTGGTTAAGTGAATTTTGCCTCATTTTACAACCTTACTTGCCAGTTATTAAGTGAATCACTGCAGTTGTTCAGTTAGTAGCACATTTTGGTAAGCAGATCTGGCTTTCCAATTTACTTTGCATATATTTTCATAGATTTTCATGAGTACAGGTACGTAGGTCTAGGTGTGTTCGGGTCTCTTCCCGTGTAAGATTAAGAGTATCTTGGCGACGTTTCGGTGTGGTCCCACTCGCCATCCTCAGGCTGGTGCTTCCGGCTTCGTGCCAGTGCAAGCTCTCTGAGAGACGGCAGCTCCGATCACACTGCTTGCACTGTCACGAAGCCGAAAGCACCAGCCTGAGGATGGCGAGTGGGACCTCGCTGAAACGTCGCCAAGATACTCTTAATCTTACACGGGAAAAGACCCGAACACACCTAGACCTACATATCTGTACTCATGAAAATTTTACGAAAACAAATATATATATATGTTTTCTGAGGTTCTCGCGGGTATTAGTATGTGGATCTTTGGTTATTCGGGTTTTCTCCCGCGTAAGATTGGAAGTATCTAGGCAACATTTCGATGAAGTCTCATTCATCATCTTCAGGCTTGTGTCTTCAGCTCTGTGCTTCTCAGAGTGATATATGTTTTCTTAAGTTTTCACGGGTACTTACATGTATGGCATTCAGCTTTGTTCGGGTATTTTCCCACGGCATTGTAGTTGTGCTTTTAAAGTTGTAGCAATGTTTCGGCAGAATCTCATCTGCCATCATCAGGCTTCTGTATAGTGTTCGTCTGTGAGTCAGACCTTCACAGCTGTTTCTGCTGAAATGTTGCTACAACTTTAAAAGCACAACTATAATGATGTGGGAAAATACCCGAACAAAGCTGAATGCCATACATGGAAGTATCCGAGAAAACT